AGTTCAAAGCGTCGATTTTTGGACAAAAATTTAAATATAAGAAAAATGTATTAACTTGATATATAGATAATAAATGGCTTAAATTAATATATATATATATATATATATATATATATATATATATATAATATATATATATATATATATATATATATATATTATTATATATATATATATATATATATATATATATATATATATATATATATATATATATATGTATATATATATATATATATATATATATGTACAGGGTGGTCCTTAAATAATTGTACAAAAAGAAATCGTAGATTCTACACTTTAAAATATTACGATTTAAGTGAAGTTGCTTAAATAAAATGTTGATACAGTGAAACTTGAATAATTCGAACCTCAAGGGACCGTTAAAAAAATTCGAATTATCCAAAAATTCGAATTAAAATAATATCCACAAAAAACAAAGATGCCTACAAAAACATCTGCAAACGATAAAAATCAACAATAGTTGACCATTTTTATCGCTTGCATATGCTTTCGTTACTTTTTTGGCCTGAATTTTGTTAACCGAAAAAAATGGGCCAACAAAATTAGGCTAGAATACCAATTAAAGCATTTGCAAGCTATAACAAATGGTCAATTATTGTCGATTTTTATCATTTGCAGGTTTTCTCATTGGTATTTTTGGCCAAATCTTAGCCGAAACAATCGGCAGATAAAAAATTTCCAGTGAGAACGCATCATTAAAACAATAAAACATTTTGTCTCAAAAATTTTATTGAAAATAAGAATACATATTTGTTACAATTAATGAAAATAGACTAATTTTTTCTAAAGAAATCCAAAATTTTTAGCAGCTTTTTAGAATTTAACGTCTCAGTAATTACAAACGATTCTAAGATGTTCAGTGAACTAAAAATATAGTGACTTACATCATTCTTGCTTTTAAAGTATCGTTTAAGTTGCGTAATATGGTGTGTTGCTTCGGCCGCACTCGGAACATGTATTTCTCCCGCAACTGATGAAGCGTCGTCTTCATCACTCTCTTGTTTTTCATCATTGTACTTAAGCACTTCAGCGATGATCTCTGTATGGGTTATTTCACCACATACTGCAACATTTTCATCCACGTTGACAAAATCTTCATAAGAGATGACAGGATCAGAAGTGATGTCCCCCCAGCAGTCAACTGAAAGCAGCTCTTCTGTTAAATTGTCGTCTGTGTTCTCCTTTTTTATGAAACCAGCTCTTTAGAAACAGTGTTTGATCGTTTCGGATGTTACTTGGTCCCAAGCTTTCTTACACATTCGAGATGCTTGTAGAATGTCTAACTTTATTTTAAGGGTGTCGCAATCTTCCATCAATACGTTTTCAACCAAAAAACGTCTGTAAAAATGTTTAAAAAATTTTATGACACCCTGGTCTATAGGCTGGAGAACTGAAGTCAGGTTAGCAGGAAAAAGATAACTTTTACATTTTCCATCAGTGGGATAGTGGTGTGAGCCGTACAATTGTCAATAAACAAAACAACATTTATTTTTTCTTTTATGAACTTTTTGTCTAATTTTTTCAACCAGTTCTCGAAAAGACCACTGTTCATCCAAGCTCTTGCGATACCCACATATTCCACTGGTTTTCACTTGACGTTCTTAAAACAACGCGGTTTAGCCGACTTGCCAATTATCCCAAAACAGCCGTTTTGTCAGGAGTGCATTTAAAAAAGAGACCCGTCTCGTCAACATTAAAGATATCTCTTTCATCTATACCCTGAATCATCTCTTCCAATTTTTTTTTTCCACTGGTTAGCTTCTTGCTGATTAACGGTCCCACTTCCTCCACAAATAGATTTAAAAGAAATTTTGTTGCGTTGTTTAAAGCCGTCGAGCCACCCTGTACTCGCCTTAAAATTGTTTTTCCCCATTTCAATAGCAAATTGTTCAGCTTTGCTTCTTTTAAGGGGACCACTTACGGGAATCTTCTTATCCCTAGCTTGTTTGAACCATTGTAACACACAACTGTCTAAATTTGGATTTCCTGGCTCCCTTAACCTTTTTCGATCATTACCGCACTCACTGTCACTGTTGAGAATTTTTTCTTTATTCTTCAAGTAGGTGGATAATGTGTTAGGAGGAATTCCAAAGTCCCTGGCAATCTTAGTTTTTTTCTTCGTTCCCTTTTCGACTTCTCTAATCGCCACTATTTTTCCGATAACGTTAAAGTTTTGTATGTTTTCGTATTACCATGCAACGACATCTTTACTCAATACGAAGTGACTTGACGTAATTTGCGGTGATTACAATTGCAACGCCAACGCATCTCAACTGAAGGGGCGTGCCAGATGGGCTAGAATTAAGGTGACAGGTACGGATACAATGTACAATTGCCTTGAATGCCTTGAAACCAGTGGCACGTTAGAACAGAAAAGAACACTACCTCTTTTAGCGGAAATTTCCAGCATGAAATTGGCATTTTTAACTTTTAGAAAAGTTCGAATTATCCAAAATATAATTCGAATTATCCACGACTTTTTAACATTACTTATATAGGAAATGCTAGGGACCAGAATAAAAATTCTAATTAAAGAATATTTCGAATTAACGAAGTTCGAATTAAGCAGGTTCTACTGTACTAAGAAAGATACAGGGTGTTAAGGTGGAAATTTAAAATTTTATTTTTCGCTATAACTTTTATGTTTGTCAACATATAGGTATAAAACTTTACAACTGGGTACTAATAAATATCAGAAATAATAATTTGATGTACACTTTGATGTAGCTGATAGAGGGCGCCACAGATGCCACATATGTGACATACATTTGCACTTAATTTTTTTATTCTTCAAGTTACCGGTATTTTTAATAAAAAATATTAAAGATACATTATTTTAATAAAAAAAGGTATACTTATTAATATCTTCAAAACTCAACAGTTTTCGATATAATCGCATTTTAGAAATCAACTACATAATTCTGATTTATCGCAAGTATTCAGACAACGAAAGAAAATTAAAGAAGAACATCAATACTATAGAATTTTAGTATAATACCTTTAATAAAGTTCATAGTTAACGAATTATTAAATAAAATAAATATATCAGCAGATCAAATAATAGGATTTGATAAATAACAGAATAATTGGATTTTACATGAAACATTTTACGTTTTGTATTAAATTAAAGTCATAATTAAAACATTTTATTTACAAACCAAATTAAAAATAGTTAAACTAAATAACATTAAACTTTTTGTCAAAGTGAGTGATCAATATGTCCACCATTTTCTTTAATTCATTTGTCAACACATTCCATAAAATATCTTCTCATAATAAATTAATAGCATCATTGGTTCTAAAGAAACTGCTGCAGTATTTATTATAAGTGATATAAGTATAATAATATATATAATAATTTTTTGTAAGTTAATAGTTTTAAGTAATATTATTATATATTATATATATTATATTATATTAATATATTAATTAAGGTAATAGTTTTAAGTAAGTAATTTTTTGAAATTTTTATAAATTAAACAATTATATTAATATCTCACCCCAAGAATATGACTACCACGAACAATTCAATGTTCAGGAAAGTTGTATTTAAATACTGTTTCACTTCGCTTTCTCTGTAATGTAATGGTGTACCATCTTGTAGAAAGCACATATTTCGCCTTAAGTTTGATGACAATTCTTCCAATAAATCAATAAAGTCATTTTATCATTTTATAAAAACTTGAATCTTGAAGAACTTTAAGCGACTTTATGATGCACATTTGTCAATTAGCATATCAAAAAAGAGAGATTCGGTATACCTATGTGATAAGGGAGTGATACCGGAGGAATATCACGGGTGGTATCGTAATTTGAAAACGGGAAATGATGTAACAGATATCTTGTCAGAGCCTGCTTTTAGTGATGAATCGGACGAGGAAGCCTCATAATAATATTATTATTATAGTATATAATACTGTTATTATTATTATTCCAAATAAATTGGTTTTTTCTATAAAATTGCCTATCGTTCATAAAAATAATATCTATAACTTCAAACAGCTGTTAAAAAAATTTCAGGGAAAACCAGTTAATTATCAGTAGTAATATCCCTAGGACATTGATAACAGACGAGATAATTTCATGACAATCAAAAGCTCGTTTCTTGGCAACAGCACGAAGCCGAAGGCTGAGTGCTGTTACCAAGCAACGAGCTTGAGAAATTTGTCATGAAATTATGAGGCATTCATCAATGTCCGAGGGATACTCGGCGGATAATTTTTCGAAAAAAAAAATCATAACTCAACATAACGAAACATTTGTTTATTAAAAGTACAGTTAGTGAAAGTACAATTATTAAAATTTAAGTTAACATTAGATTTTGAAAAACGTGACATTTTGAAATTTATTTGGATGAAGTTGTCAAACTTGATCGTGTTGTCATAGGGATTGAAAATTGCACTGTGACTAAATGCAATTATCAGTCTAATGTTGACATGATTTGGTAAAATTGTTCCTCATGACAAAAAATGACGAAATTTGAATGGTTGTTAGAACATTCGAAAAATTATCATAAATATCGACTAATACCTTAAAACACTGCTATTACTTAGTAAAAGCCTGATATCTCGATCACAAAACTGGAAAATATTATACTTGAATTATTATATTTGTGTTAAATATGCTATTTGAAGAATAACTGATTTATTTAGATTTAAAGGTAAAACCAGGTAAGTAAGAGCATTTCCAACTTAAATTTAAGATTAGTCAGATGTCTCAATTTTTTCAAACTAATGATAGAATACCATTTCAAGTTTATGCATTTTATCACTAGAATACCTAATATCAAAAACACGTTGACTGCTTAATTCACAATAAGAAACTAAAGTTTAAAAACGCTTTTTCTCGATTTCAGTATTCCGACATTTACCTGGTTTTCGCAGTATACCGACGATATTTATTATAAACTTACTGGAGTTTTTCCAAAAGTATACTTCAAAGACTGCTTTAAGAGTAATTTTTAAATTCTTTTTTAGGGTCTATCTAGTGCATCATCTCTTAATTTAACGTACTACAGATTACAAAGTTCAGGACCAGTTACAAAAAGGGACCTAAACTCCTTTGCCGACCAATTAAATACCGTCGCCCGGCAGTTATCAGATGCGGGCAGTGCCAGAAAATTCGACAATCTTGCGTTTTCCGTAAGAAAAACCTTCCAAAACGAAGTAAAACGGCTAATCGAAATTAGAAATACGATTGTGTACAAAATAACTGCATTAGAGGTCTTATTACCTCCTCTTAACCAAAAGGTCAATGACTCTTTGGAGAATTTGAAGAATATACAGTTCTTTTTAGATACTAAAGGATCACAAGTGGCAAATAAGGTAAAAAATATTTTTTAATTAATTTTTTTTACTATTATATTTTATTTATATTGTTCGGGAGTTATTTTCTTGCGAAATTTTAAAGTAATACTATTTTATTGAGAATAAGCCACAATAATTAAAGTATTAAAATAAGTTTGTTGATATTTCAATTTCCACTTCGGAAATCGTTCTCAAAATGCAATTAGTAAATTAAACAAATTTTGTTTTTTTGTTACTTGGTGAAAAATTCTTAAGGCATTTTTTTACAACATAATTCTAATATTAACTAATTACAATTATTTTAAACACAACTTTAACTTAAATATGTATATATAACATTCTTAAATACTTTGAAGGACCTGGTGTACAATATTTCTTCATTCGCTTCTATTTTGTGCTTTTATTTTCCAGTCCCTCACCTTCACGTGTTTAAGGTCTTCCTCCGCTTTACTTATATACCTCGTACTGGATCTACCTCTTCTTTTGGATTTTCTTGTTATTACCAGTTTAGGCATTCTTTCCACATGTTCCAACCATCTGATTCTTTGTGCCTTGATGATTTTGGTAATGGTAGATTCTTGGTATAAAGCCATTAATTTATTGTTGGTTCTTCTCTCCCAACCATCTTCTGTCTTTCGTCCTCCAAATATGCGTCTCAATGTTTTCCTCTCCCATCTTTCCAGAGTATTCTTTTCCTTCTTATTTAATGTCCATGTCTTACCGCCATATGTTACTGTTAGTCGAATTACTGTTTTATATATTCTGAGTTACCCTTGTCTAGAAACGTATTTTGAGTTCAGTATGGCTCTTAAACTACCTATTTTTTTATTCCCTTTTGCTATTCTGGCTTCGAACTCCCAGTTCTTTTTTCCGTTTTTATCGAAAACTACACCCAAATATTCAAATTTGTCCACCCTTTTAAAACTATAGCTTTTACCACTTACTGACCACACACTAAAGTCTGTCCTCCCCCTTCCGTCCTCCTATGATCATATATTTGGTTTTGTCTTCATTTAGTTTCAATCCAAATTTCTGTGCTTCCTCGATGATTTTCTTTACAACTCTTTTTAATTCTTTCTCGGTTTTTGCTAGGATCGTTAGATCGTGAGTAAATGCCAAGCACTGGTGCTCATTTTTCAAGATCGTTTCTTCCACCTTCATGCTGCATTTTCTGATTACAGTTTCTAACACTAAGTTGAATAATGTAGTGGATAAAGGATCTCCCTGTCTCAAGCTCTTTGCAACCGTAAATTGATCTAATATGTGACCCTGACAAGCAATTTCATACTTAGAGTTGTTAAGTGTCATTTTAACTAGCCAGATCAGTTTCTTTGGTATACCTAAATGTTCCATTGCTCGATACATTTTGACTCTATCGACTCTATAATATGCTTGTCTAAAATCCACAAATAAAACATGCAGGGGAACTTTACATTCATAACAAGTTGTTTGTATCTCCTTTAATGAGAAGATTTGGTCTACTGTAGATCTCTTCTTTCTAAAGCCGGCCTGATATTCATCCGTGTAGCAATTTAGTTTATTTCTCAATATTCTTGCCAAGATTTTTTATACCGTGTCTAATAAGGCTACACCTCTATAGTTGTCACACTTCAGTTTGTCTCCTTTTTTATGCAGAGGACATATGCGGGCTTCATACCACTCTGATGGCATTACTTCCTTTTCTTATACTTGCACTAGCAGCTGATATATTTTTCTTTGTAGTTATTCTGCACCAAACTTGATCATTTCTATGCATATGTCATTTTTAACAGGACTTCTGTTATTTTTTATTTCTTGTATTGCTGTCACCACCTTCTCCTCTGTAGGCTGCTTTTCAACTATCGCATCTTCTCCAACTGTCCAGTTGTCTACTGCTTTGTGGTCTTCCTCACCATTTAATAATTCTTTAAAATGTTTTTTTCCATTCCGTCATTATTTTTTCCGGATCGCTAATTAAATTTCCGTCTTTACCTTTTACATAACTAACATATAACAGTGGCTTTGGTAATCTTTTCCCATCTTTTTAACTTCTTGATAGAACGACCTCACCTCTTTGCTTCTAAACTTCTCTTCTATCTTTTTTAATTTCAACTCATTGTTGTTTATATTTTTCCTTCTACGCATAGTTTTCAATCTTCCTCGAAAAATTCTATATTCCTGTTTTTTACACTCTCTATTATATGTTAATATTGGTTGTCTGATCTTTTTTTTTCCTTTGCTATCGCCTGACACTTTTTGCCAAACCAATTTTTTTTGTACTTCTCTTGGAGTCGCACTAAACTATTTTCTCGCTAGCTTCTCCTACGGCAGTTTTTATTTCTTCCCATGCTTGATCTGTCTATAAATTTTAGACACATTGTTGTAGAATTCATTTATTTCTTCTTGATATTTATTGTTTATTTCTACTTCCTTTTTCAATATTGTACTTTCCCTTCGTTTTATTGTTCGATTTATCTTTTTCTTCCAGCCTCCTCCCACATGTGACTTTACCGAGGTAATGGTCAGAGTCGATTTCAGCTCCTCTGATACTTCTTACCTTCTGAACGATATTCATATATTTACTTTTAATCATAACATGATGTATTTGATTCACCGTCCCTCCATCTGGGGAGACCCACGTACCTTTGTAAATCTCTTTTGTTTTAGTTGTGTGCTTCTCACCACCATGTCTTTTTTTTCATGGCAAATCCAATAAGTCTTTGAACATTATCGTTTGCTACTTTGTGTTTACTGTAGTTACCAGTTACTGCAGTATACAGAGGTTCTTTTCCCACTTTAGCATTACAATCACCCATTATTATATTAACATCACGTTTAGGCAGGCGCTCGTATTCATCATTTAGCTGTTCATAGTAAAGATCTTTTATTTCGTCGTCCTTGTCTTGTCTTGTCTACTGCAAAAGAGATATGAGAGATAAAGAGAGATATTACGATTCTCCATAAATGAACGATGCTAAGTTAGCTTCTTACCGATAAAATTTTAGATATATTAGTTTTTTCTTTATATAAAAAACAACTAATCAGTCTTTTTATGTTGGCATAGGATTTCCTGTTTTTTTTTCATTTGATAAATCACAAAACCAGATATTGCCATTATATCCTCTTAGAGTATTTTTTTCGGGAATGGCTCTGAGATAAAGCATTATATATAAAAAAATAACCTCTAATCTCCCTGTAAAAGTAAAAATATTAAAACTAACTTATATTGAGGATTAATTAACGTGACCAGGAAATTTGCACGATTTGATGGATTATTATGGAATTTATTTCAGTTAAAGTCATCACCCTGTATAAAAATCTGCTTAATACAAAAAATAAAAGAAACAATTGCTTTTCTATGTTATAAAATAAAAATATATTTTATAATATAATGGCACTCAAAAGTTAAGCAGACAGATTGAAAGCTCTGTATAACGAAAAATTCAATCCTTTCTAATCATCTTGTTGTTATATTTTATTTTTCTAGGTTAGAAAACGATTTATCAGCCGCCTTATTAGCTACTTAGAGGACTTATACAGTTACGTCAAAAGGAAAATTTCTAAGGAAATAGGAAAATGTCGTCCCCTTTGGGAAATTTTTCACTCGAGTCGAGTCTACGCTTGCAAATTAATTGTGGACCCGCTGGTAAGAGAAGGAAATGGATTTTACTGAGTAGATAATAAAAATTGCCACCGACGAATCTCAATCAATTACTTCCTCTCCATTGCATGCTTAAAGCTGGGAATTTTCCTTACATTTTTCTCTTTTTCTCTCTCTAAATTAAATATTAAGACTTAACCGGTCATGTGAAATTATTGGACACAAAGCATCACTTGCAGTGTTTAAGCGTGACTGATTTTAACATCTTTATTTAGAAAAGACATTAAATATTTGGGAAATTCTTACAATAGCAAGGTAATGTTTAAAAATAAATAAAAACAATACGGACTTTTAAGAAAATCTTAAAGAACCATTTAAAATTAGGCAAATAATACTTTGATACTGTCGTTTAATTTTAATTTGATTTCATTATTGCTTTTTTTGCATATTTCCAAAATAATTTTTTAATTCTTATTAAAGTTTATATATATATATATATATATATATATATATATATATATATATATATATATATATATATAGTATAGAAAAAAGGAGTACGACCGCTAGTCCAATATAAATTAAGGATCACTCGAAGAGTGGTGAGTTTTTCGGTCACAAGTTGGAGAAAAAAGACAAAGAAGGTGGCTACTTCATATTTATTTATTCAAGACTTTTTACTCTCTAATCAGAAATCATCATCAGTTTATCTAAAAAGAACAATATGAAAAACCATACATCTACAGAAAAGTCAATATAAGTGTGTTACCTCAAAAACACATGTAGCAGTCAATGGTATGATATGTACATACGTAAGGAGCTTAAGACATTAGACATTAAAGAGTTAGGTTGTATAAACAGGGGATTTATAGAGTGGCCAGCTAGATCTCCAAATGTAACACCCCTTGATTTTTACATTTGGTATTATCTTAAATCTAACGAATACTTCCATAGGCTTAACACCGTTGAACATTTAAAACAAAAATTAACTGAGTGTAATTTAGAAATTCTTTTGGTTAATGCCAGGAAGTCAACAACACTCACTTTAAACTTTTTTATTTAATTTTTAAACCTTTTCTTCTTGTTTTTCTTTTTAACTAGACATAACACTGTCTGGCTTTTAATGTGCCTCTAGTAAGTTGTTCAATCGTTTTCGTGGTCTTTCTTCAAATCGTTTTACTATTGGGGTACCAACGATCGTTCCATTCTACATTTCTATTTCTTACCCAGTCCTTGGTGTTTTCCACCCTGTTTTACCATCAGTGTTTTCGTCTTCTTGTAGTGCCTATCCATTAGAGATGTTGGCAACTATCATGACAATCTGCACTTTGCACATTGCTGCTCTAAAAAGATTTGTGGTTGTTGTGTTGAACCACGTTCGTAGATTTTTCAGCCAGGAAATCCTTCGCCTTCCTGGTCCCCGTTTTCCTTATATTTTTCCTTGTAAGATTAGTTGCAGCAGTCCATATCTTTCGCTGTTCCTCATAATGTAACCGGGGTATTCGATTTTGGCTGTTTTTATTGTGGTTAACAGCTCTTTTTCTTTTTTCATTCTCAACAGAACACCCTCATTAGTAACGTGGTCGGTATACGATATCTTCAGGATGCGACGTTAAAGCCACATTTCAAAAGCCTCAATTTTCTTGCAGGTGGCGTCTGTGAGAGTCCATGACTCAACTCCGTACAACAGTATAGGAAAGATGTAACATCGTAGTAACCTGATTTTTATGGGCATTGATTAATCATGACATTTGAATAACTTAGCTATTTTTTGAAATGCAGATCTTGCTTTCTCTATTCTACATTTGATTTCTATGGAATGGTCCCAATTTTCAATGACGTTCATACCAAGGTAGGTGTATGTTTTTATTCTTTCTATTTGTTGACCGTTTACACTGATTTGTCCAAATTGCTGTTTCTTCTTAGAGATCATCATGCATTTTGTTTTCTTAATGTTTAGTGAAAGTCCGTATCTCTGACTGACCTCTGTAATTCTGTTCATTAACTCCTGGAGGGTTTCAGAGCTGTCAGCGAATACTACTGTGTCGTCCGCGTATCTAATGTTATTGATAGATTCTCCGTTGATTCGAATTCCGGCTTTAACATCACGCACTGCTTCTTGAAAGATTTCCTCAGAGCATATGTTAAACAGCAGTGGTGATAGTATAAATCTCTGACGGACGCCACGTTTGATTTTGATATCGTCGGATTCTCCTGCCTCTGTCCGGATAGATGATGTTGGATTCCAGTACAGATTGCTGACAATTCTTAAATCGCAAGTGTTTATTCCAATATTGGTTAATATCTCCATCAGCTTGTCGTGCTTTACTGTATCGAACGCTTTATGGTAGTCCATGAAGCACGCATAAATGTCGCAGTTCACGTCTCTACATCGTTGAAATAGCAGTGTTTTAAAGTGTATTTATTTCTGCTGTTTCGAACATCCTTTTTGTCTTCTCTGTGTTAGGTTGTGTTTCTGTTACGTATGTCATTATTGGTCTGATAACTGGTTTGTTCATTCTGCCTTTCATTTCTTTCCCTATATTTTAATAAAATTGCGGTTTTTGTTGAATAATGTGATGCCTAGATATTTAAACTTCATCACTTATTCTATTATCTGACCTTGCAGCTCCAATTTAAATTTTAGTAAATTTTTGTTATAACTAGACCTCGGCAAATATGCAAATAAAAATGTAGAAAATATGCGCATAAATATGCACGTATTTACCCGAAAATATGCAAATATTTTACAAAATATGCATAAATAAATAAAAAAATCGTAAAATAGTAACAATTTTATTTAAAAAAAAAGTGTACATAACTAAATAATTCCTACTATTCATTAAGATTTACATTTATTTTAAGTAACTACATCATTTTTAAGTATGAATAAACTTATTTAGAATTATGGTAACAATAAATGACCAAGTGGTGTTCAAAATTTTCTAACAAAAACTTGTGGCTTCTGTCTGAGTACATATATTTATATATGGAAAAACTTCGTTCAACATCAACTGATGTAACGGGAACATTTTTCAAATTAATCAAAACATTTGGTTCTAAATTAATTGTTTCCGAAATATTTCCAGCTAGAACACTGACTACTTCAGAGAGAATATGGTAGCCTTTATTTTTTCCATAGTAGCTTCAAATTTTTTTAAAATATCTTTTCCAATATTACCTCTAACCTTCCGACAACATGACGCAAATTCTTTTATTAATGCTGTACTTTCGAACAATGACAGTTTTGGTGATTTTAACTGAGTAATTGTTTTTTGAACAAAACTAAAATTTGATTTTATAAATGAAAGTTCTTGTTGAAGCAAGTTACTCTGAAAAGTTTGTTTAGAATCCAAAAGAGATTGGGAACTTTCATCTGTTAACGTATCAATTATGTTCTTTATTTTAACAAAATGATCTGCATAAAAATTAGCTGCTTCTAACCATGTTCCATATCGCGTTAAAATAGGTTGTGGTGGAAGAGGAATGTTAGGTAGCATTTCTTTATAAAGTTGAATTCTTATAGGAGATTTAAGAAATACTTTTTTACACTGGATATCATGGTATTTACAAGAGAAAACTTTTTTCGTATTTCCTCTGCAACTCTGTTTAATCCATGCGCTACACAAGTAACATGTATTAAATCTGGGAAAAATATTTTTAAATTTTGTCCTTTGTATAAAACGCGAAATTGTTAAAGCATTTGTTTTCTCAAGTTGCTGGCATGAAATAAGATGAGATTTTGGTAAGGTATCTTCTTTAGGAACACCAAGTTTCCTGAGGAATCTGCGGTTTCGTCTACAGATATGTAAAAATAATTATCTGCAATTTCTTCCTTAATATTAATTAACACCGACGAGTATAGCCCGTTCACATTATTTCTTCTTAGAGACCGATCACTTGGAACATTAAGTTTGCAATATTTTTTTAGAAACGAACTAAAATTTACATTTGCTAATTTTGAAAGCGGTATGTTTGCAGACACTAATGCGCGACACAAGTCTTCATTAAAAGTTTCTTGCTCATCTAATTTTTTTGAAGTAGATTGGAAACATTTAGCCATTGAAGTTTGATGTTTTCCTCCTATTTTTTCTTTTTTTGCAATGTGTGAAGCAGTTCTCACATGTTGGTCTATCTCAAATTTCTTCTCACATGCTATCTATAAATAAAAACCTTTATTTTAACCCAACCTTTAAAATATAAAAATATACAAGGTATTTTTGGTTAATCAAATAACTGGTTTGGAAAAAAAACACTCGCTAAGTGTTTTAAATGCAGTATTAATCCACAAATTAGTTTTTGTTGCTAACCATTAGTACATCATATAACTTATTTTAAAATTCAACAAAAGTTTTTTTTTGTTTATTCAATTACAATAAAAATAATTGTGTTTTTGAATAGCTGACTTCATAAAAAAAGTAAAGGTGAAAAATTTTTCTAAATACACACCATTGTATTGTACCATGGACAATTTTTTCTCAATAAAGGAAGCTATTTTTCATTTAAAAACAACCTACGAGTACTAAATTTCAAGTAAATACGTTTATTGGTTTTAAAGTTATTGCTGTTATTAACTAAAAGAATTTAATTTTGTTTAATTTTAACACCCTGTATCTCGAAAAGTAAATAAGTTTGACCCCTCATTAACTATATCGTTTTGTTCAATTTTTCGAGAAGTATCTACAGTCAAACGTTGTAAGTGTCATTTGGAAACACCCTGTATGTATGAAATATTAGATATTTAATAGAAAATATTGGATACTTACAATTTTGCCACAGACTGAACAGTAGATTTTTCCCATATCCATAGACAGCTCTTTATAAGATTTAATCCAAGTTGAAGCACTGGTTGTTTTAGGCATTATAAAATCACAATCTTCCTTTTTGTTACGCACAACGAGTGTTTACGCTTTGAATATCAAAACAAAAATGATTTACAAATCTGAGCATCAAATTAGAAATGTTTAGGTACCTAATTCAATAAACTGGGAGATTTTGAAAAATCCCTAAATTAGGAACAAAACTATTAGCCGTTTACCTGCTGTTAAGATACAATAAATTGTAGATAGATTTGGGGATTAAATTATAAAATGCAAATGAGCGAACCCTTAGCGATTATCCAATAACTGAATGCCTCAGTGACCGAGACTTTCTAAGAATGTTGAGGGCTACTTAAATTGATCTTCTTTGAAATTGTAAATGTTTTGTACCTGTAGAGATTACGTACTTAGATCATTTCTTGATTAAAATGACTACAAAATTTTATACAAGAGTTGAAATAAATTGGTATGTTTAAAAATTTTCAAATACAGTATAAAAATCTGAACTTTTATGCACTTTATGCAAACTTTTATACAAATATGCCAAAATATGAAATATTTGCATAAAATATGCACAATATGCAAAATATGCAATATGCATATTTGCCGAAGTCTAGTTATAACCATGCATTTTGTTTTTTTTTTGGGAAATTAACTTGTCTTACGGTTATATTAAATTGGTGAAGTATACGTTGGTTATCGTTTTCACTTTGAGAGAGTAGTATTGCGTCGTTTGCATAGCAGAATGTTTAAAGTTGTTCTTTCCCATTGCGTATCCTTTTTAATTTTAATTTTTTTCATCCATAATCATATTGAACAATAGAGTACTTAGGGAGTCTTATTACATTGCCAACTTCAATAGGGTCAGTTATTTCGTCGTCTACTTTTAATTTGATTGTGTTGTTTTGCTAGATATTTTTTATCGTTTTGATAATTTTTAAATATATCTCTTTTGCATGCAATAATTGGATAGCGTGTTTTAATAAGACTGAGTCAAATGCCTTCTTAGGGTACACGAAACTTAGATATGTCGGTTTGTTGTATTCTAATTATTATTTTGCGCTTGACCCATTAGAAATATAGTTTAAAAATAGATCAGTCCAGTACTTTCAATAAAATTTTAGATTTTAAATTTCTCATACAACATTTGTCTGTAAGTCACAAAATCATTAATCATTAATTCATCACTATATTCAATTGTAGTATTAGTATCGCATTTTATAATAAAAGTTGAAGTGTAAAATCATTTTTGTTATAATACTGTTAGATTAAAAAATATTAATGTTTTTCCAACTAAACGTAATTTCTGTAAACTCTAAAGTTAAAATACGCTAAGACTTAAAAATTTTAATAGTTGTTGATTAAATCCAATTTTTTGACGTTCTGTAAAATTTTAAACTTTTAGTTTTAACAGTGTTTACAAATTGATTTTTAATTTATAAAACACACAAAGGAAGAAAATTTAACATAACTTTCAAAACCACTGTTTTCTTGTAAAATAACCATCTCAAAATAATCCAACACAACCTGAGCAGATGAACTAATGAAAATTAATCTAGTTCTTGTCCGAAATCAACGTTACTGTTTTTGTTTCAGAATGCAATCGCCTTTTCGAGCTTCCTTGTAATTATCATTTTCCTGACAATGGCTCCGATTGTTCTAAACTTGGTTCAACATTACAGACAATTCGACGGTGATTTATCTTCGTTTTCTCCGAGGTAAGTCATTTTTTGCTGTACTCGTTCAACAACGGCTTTAATGTGTAGTAAAATATAAATTAATACAGGGATAAGAAAAGATATACAAATCAAGTAAAAAAAGAACATAATTTTGTTCATTAACACTGTTTATCTAAAAATATATCGCATATGGATTATTTTTTTGGATAATTGTAAAATTATACGCTAGTTATCTAAATTATTTAATATAAGACATCAAAATTGTGTTTCTTTAGATATATTTTTCTTTTTTCTTTATCCAGTGTCTATCATTTATTTCTGAATATAAGATGAAATGGGTTAACTATGGTTTGGGGTAACTGTGGCACCCATTATTGTTTTTTAATTAACAATGTCTTATAAAGTTTACGGTATATACTTGTTGAATCTCTCTGATAGTAACTAGTAAGAAATTCTTGAGACATCAGCTACCAAAACAAAAAATTAGTTGGCAACTAAAACTCTGACCGTCATGTTTTGATCAAAATAAATTGCGTAGTAGTTAAGTTAAATTTGAAAAACTTGGTTAAATACAGAATCAGAGCTAATCTTCAAAAAAATGCTTCTGAAAGTAAACTTTAGGCGCCATCTAGCGCTGAGTAATCGGAGTATGAGAAGAACAGTTTCTTAATTAAGAAGGAGTCCTGAGTTATCCAGACATGACCCATGATCGGTGCAGCTGTGGACGATACCGGAGGAACTGTGGTTCCAAAAGTTTCTACGTTAGTTTGTATATAACTCATTCTTTGGGTGCAAAAATGTCAAGAAAATATATTAAAAACACTATCAATCATGGCGTCGAACGTAGGTATTTAATAGAAGCATTAGAACTGGCTATAAGAGATGGTAAATCGGGAAAGATGAAGACATTTTGGCTTCTCGGATAAAAACTAAGTAAGTGGAGTAAGTGGGGGCTTGGACTATCTCGAAAACAAATACTCAACACTGTACAGGTATATGTTTAGCAACATAATCTGCAAGTGCCCTTTAAAGAGGGGAAGCCTGGTGAACATTGGTTTTTGAATTTTTTAAAACGCAACCGACTTTCTATTAGGAAACCTCAGATAATTGAAGCATCACGTGTTAGACAACAAAGTGACTCATTTGTTGTTTATGATTTCTTTGATATCAACTGGAAACTATTATGAATAATTTACAACTTCAACAATACCCTGCTAGGATATGGAATGCAGATGACACCGCTTTTAATTATGACCCCAGCTGTAATAAGATTGTAACTGGAATCGAAGAAATGGCACAAAGGCAAACTGCAGGCTCAGGACAGAAAACAACAGTTTTGGCATCTGCTAATGCCAACGGATCCATATTGCCACGTATGATCCTCCACAAGGGCCTAAGCTTATGAGACAATATGTTTGGTACAGATGAGTGTTAAGAGACATCTTACTAAGTATCCAAAAATGGTTGGATGACTAAACAAGTATTTTTTCTATGGTTAAGATTTTTTTTAATTGCGTTGAAAGACCTGCTTTTTTGATTTACGATGGTCATTTATCGCACATTTCATTCGAACTGATTACGTTATTCATGGCAGAATATGTGGCTATTCTTAAATTACCGCCACATACTTTTGCAATATTGCAACCTTTGGATGTATCAGTCTTTAAGAGGCTCAAGTCTTCATGGAATGCTTTGTTAACAAATTGGTAGTGCAACAATTTAGGAAAACAGCTAACAAAATGCAAATTTTCAAATCTTTTGGGAGAAGCTTGGTGGAGTATTCGAAAACCTGTTGTGGTGAATGGCTTTAGAAAAACAAGTATTTTTTCTTATAATCAAGATTCTATTAACGAAGCATAGTTTGATCCCAAAAAGTTAAAACTATATCATAAAGAGAAAAACATTCCTAACACTATCACTGACGAGCAAAGTTCTACGGGTAAGCAAACTACGATCCCAGCTGCTCCCCTCTACAGCTCTACTACAGAAAGCCAGAATTGCATTGCACCAACTTCCATTGCATCTTGGGAGAACATTTTACTAACAACAGTAAAATCTTCTCCAAACCTACATCAAAGAAAGAAGAAAAGAGTGTTGCTGAGGTGATCACAACTAAAACCTATTTAGAATACTTACAGTTATCAAAAACTAAGACAAAACTTCGAAGAAACATTAAGTCGTGACGATGAAAGTTCTAAAGAAGTCGTTTATGCAGAGAGTGATGACTTATATAAAGCTCCAAATGACAATATGGAAGAAGGTGACGAACCTTAAATTCAAGAACCCACTGATGATAATTATAATATGTCAAATTAAGCAGTGAAAAGAGTCGTGATAATCAAATATTTGAAACGATGTCTGGCAAATGCCATCGAATTTCGTGAGAAAAACGAGTCTCTCTTGTTCGCTTATGATAAGATGTTACGACTACTGAACAACCCAAAATCAGAAAATGAAAACCTCGTTACGTTTTGTGAGGATTTAAGAGGATTCAAAAATATTGCCTAACTGTATGTTATTTTGTGATTTTTAATAAAAATTTTCGTTTCTGCATTTTTAATGTTGCTTTTATTTTAAAACACAGTTACACCATTTATTATTATAACTACAAAGTGAAGTTGACAAACTGAAGAAGATTTAAAAGAAGGAGTACAAAAAATAGATGCTTTAATAATGGAAATAACTGTGAACAATGAACAGGATGCATTAGAAGAAGGTGAAATAGAAAGATTTTATACAATAAAAAGCAGGGGGCGCTCGATCATAAAAGAAAACTAGATATTAGAGGCGGAAGAATGCAAGAAAGATAAAATAATATTACCCCAAGTGAAGTTACCCTGTTTTGAGGGAAGGTATGAATCCTGGGTAACATTCTATGATATTTTTAAACATTTGATACATGAGAATAACCAACTATCAAATGTGGAAAAAATGCAGTATCTGAAGACAAACCTATAAGGAGAAACAAGTAGAATAATACAACATTGTAACACAACAGAAGCAAACTACAGTGCTGCCTGGAAAATGTCGCAATATCGATACAATAATCCAAGGATGAATCTATTTATATTAATAGACCAGATATTACTTCAGACTGCTGAGATAAAAGAAACGTCAGCAAAGGCGCTGAAAACATTACATGATACTCTTCACGAATGTTTAGAAGCCATTAGTGGACTAGGTATAATGACATAGTCCTGAAGCCCTTTTATAGCAAGGATAAGCATATTAAAGTGAGACATAGGAACCAGGAGATTATATGAAACGTCAAATCAAGACAGTAGGGATATTCCAACCCATAACTAAACACAGGAATTCCTACAAAGAAGATTCCAGACATTGGAGATGTTAGAAACAGAAAAGAAAAAACAGATCACAGACAATAGGAAAAAAAGAAGATAACCTGTGTGGTGTGTAATGAAGACACACCATAGAGGTTATCTTATATCTCCCACATATAATCAATTAAACAAGTTTTATAAAACTGTCATCAAAATGCGTTGCTCAGACTCGAAACATAACATTACTTACATCCAGTAACGGATTGGAAACAGCAATTAGAAGTTATTGAAAGACTCTCGCCAGTCCCATTGAGGAGCTTATACAGAGGCCAATCATACAGCAGACCAACATTTCCAGACATAATATTGTACTTGAGCCAAATATTGAACTGAGGCAGAGCAGTTTGATCAAGATATATCCCAACACCCATGGAACACCATTGCTAACCATCAGTGGATTCCTGATTTAACCACGGTACTAGTCACTATATTCATTGTTATGTTGATTGTCATTATATGGAAAGTAGTCAGATATTTTCGAAACTCCAAGAGAGCCAGAAACCAAAGGCATCAAGGTTTTTGCATCTATCCTTATACAAAGCCTAGAAGACATACGGTATCACGACTAAATTTAGGTAAAACTTTAAAAAAAGCACTTCCTAGATCAGTTTTATTTAATGAGATTAGATTTGAATTAGATAGTTTAGCTGAAACATAAATTCTAAATAATCAAGTTATAGGTAGCACTGCTCGGGTAAGAAAATAATTCAAAAACTGAGTGAATTAGTGTTATGATTATTGTTATATTATTAGTTTATATGTGTTTAAATATTTTCTATTGGTCGTTTGTTTCTTTAGATAGTCGCCAATATGTTCAATCACAAATAATCCCTTAATTTGTAATCTTACATTATTCTTAACTTCTTAACATTTTATAGTTTCACCGTGTATAATTCAAACATTGTGTTGATTTGTCGAATGATTTGTCGAATAATATATTTTTCTAATTGAACTTCCTAAGTGTTGCAATGAAGGCCTAGATTAAATTGTAATGTAAGCTAATAGTTCAAAGTTGGTTAGTATGATAGAAGCAATAACCTTTGTGCTGAGGTATGAATTATTTGTATGAATAATGCTAATATCTAAATCACCACAAAACTTCCCTGACATAACCGTGCATGATCAAAGAATCGAACGTGTGAGAAGATATAATTACCTGGGAACTGTTATCAACGAAAATAATGATTGCTCTGAAGAAATCAGAACCAGAATAGAGAAAGCTAGAGCCACATTTACTAAATTGAAAAAGGTGTTCTGCGGAAGAGATCTAAGTCTAAAACTTAAAATTCGTCTTTTGAGATGTTACGTTATGTCAGTTCTCCTCTACGGGATGGAAACATGGACATTGAAAAAGATCGATACCAAAAAGATAGAAGCATTTGAGTTGTGGATGTATCGTAGAATATTAAGAATACCCTGGACAGATAAAGTAACAAATGTGGAGGTTTTGCGAAGAGTGCGGAAAGAGAAAGAGCTGATACTTACTGTTAAAAAGCGCAAACTACAATATTTGGGACATGTTATGAGGAGAGATAAATACCAGTTGCTGCAATTGATTATACAGGGAAAGATAATGGGAAAGAGATCTATAGGAAGAAGAAGGCATTCATGGTTGAAAAACTTGAGGGAATGGTACAATTGCACCAATTACCAACTGTTTAGATCTGCAGCATCAAAAATACGCATAGCTTTGATGAT